AGGAATGAACAGGTCAGCCCAGTGGCACATCAAAGAAGCAAGTTGCCTGCTGCAGGGAGCTTGGGGGAGGCCAGCTGCTTTCAGATGTCAGTAGCCCGAGCCCAACCATCTCACAAAGAAACGAAAGGCAGAACTGCTACCCTGCAGATTCTGCAAAGTGAATTCTTGAGAAACGCCTCTGCCATAACAGCATGTCTTGGGCTGAAAACATCTAAAAAACCCATGACCTGAGCAGCAGCCTGATGAGTGCATCATGCAGTTGTACACAGCAGCTCCAGCACTGTTTTCCCCCTGAGAAGTATTGTACATTTCCTCCCACCCCTAAACTATGTGGAAATGGTTGCAGAAAATCCCCTTCAGCCTTGCCCTGCAGCAAGGCATCAGGCCATGTGTTGAGTGATAAAGACACTGGCCCTTATTACACAGAAAAAATATCTGCTCTGCTTATGTCAGAACTGGAGAGGAATATGAAACAGGTGCCAGAGCAAGCCCCACACCAGCACTCGTAACACAGACCATGTCACTGCTGAGCAGCAGCTCGTATACCATCACACTCCCTGCACACATATGGGATCGTATGTGCTAGCAACAGCACTGGGACGCTACTTCCCACTGCTGCTCACTATGGGGATGTACCTCTCCTATATGCACAGATGTGGTGAGATACTTCATACTTGCTCACAAAAATAGCTTTGAAGCTCGCTTTTAAGACAACCAAAGAGTTTTCTTCACATTTAATGGGCCTCACCCTGCAGGTACTTCCCAGCCACAGAGGACATTTTAAATGAAAGACATTTTATATGGGCCTAGGAGCGCAACAACACTCACAGCAAACTTCCAGGTTTGCTGCAGGATAAGTTTTTAGTTTTGGAGGTGACCTGTGATAGGTAAATACCACATCTACCATGAAGAACAGTTCTAAACTCTTTTCAGAACAACTCTGTAAGGTGGAGTGGAAGGCAAGCGCACTGCAGACCCCACAGAGGAGAGCAGGGCTTCACGTTAATGGTAAGGGATGCACAAGAAACTTACGCCCTCCAAAATCGCAGATCTGATGGCAACACAGGGGCTAAGGAGGTCAGAAAAAAGGAACTTCACTGGGACTGTCTCCTCTGCCTACAAAGAGAGAAATTTACTCACCAGGATGCGAAGCAGCTCCTCCAGGTAGCAGCAGATGACATTCTCATCCTCGTAGAGCGCCCAGCTGCGCTGCTGAGCATCATCCTTGTGCCTGGCCAGATCTGCAAAGATCACCTCCAGCCGCTGCTCGTCGTGGCAGATCTGTCCTGAGGGCAGCCCCGCACTCAGATTCTGCACGATAGCAAAACCACTGGTTAGCGGGGTCCTGACAGCTAGCTGTTGTTTGGGTGCCTGTTTCCTCTAATCTTTGTCGCGGGACTGGCAGTTGACCTCATTCAGTCAAGAGCTGGCAGCAAAAAGACAGCAAGTTTAAGGTACACGTTATTTCAGCTCTCATACTTTTGGGCCCTCCACCTACCTCCTTTCCTTGCACAGTTAATGCAGTGAATGAATCAAAATAGGTGCCCGAATTGGTGCATGATCATAGTTTTTAAATCCAAGCCGCCACCATCCTGCTGGAGCATTAGCTGTCTTCTGAGGATGTTGCAGAACCCAAGAAACTTCACTCAATCAGAGCTACACCCCTTTTTTTCTTACTGCTTTTAGTAACCTAAGGCTGATCCAGGCAAACCAACATTCCCAAAGCTGTGGGAATTTGTACCCGAGTCTCTCCTAAATCACATAATTGTAACCTCTTAGCATACAGGCTAACACCTACACCAACATCCCCGCTTCCCTTCGCAGCAAACCAGAGGGTGTTTGCAGAACACCACTGGCTGCTTGCCTGCCCTGGGGAGGGCGAAGGCTGTGGTAAGGGGAATGCCCATTTCCTGTAAGAGAGGAACTTAAGGCAAGAAGCCAACTCAGATGACCACAGCCCTCTGCACATTTCAACACGCTTAAAGGAAAATCCAAAATGCTTGGCTGGAGTACTACGCTCAGTGCCAGTTAAACCTTCATTCGCCCTTCCCGCAGGGCAGCCAAACATGCCACATCTTTCATAGCAGCAGTCCAGTGCGCCAGGAACATGGGGCAACCCAACCTCAGCAAACCCAAAGGTGTTACCTCTCCACAAGACAAGTAAACCAGTGGTTTCCTTCTGGGTGTGGGCATCAGGCAAGTGTTCAGATGCTCTTCAGAGGACACACACAGCAGACTCTGAAAATCATCCTGAGAATGAGGAAAGCCAAACCAGCCAGGCACGAGCCAGGAGCGCTGCCAGGCAGCAGCTGAGCACAGCTCCAGTCTCATCCCCAGTAAAACAGTTGTGTCCTGGGACACAAAACCACCACAAACTACCTCCAGGAAGAAGTTCCCTTCACTGCCCCCTCCCTCCAGCCCAAAAGGGACAGATCTTCCTTTAATCCTTGACTCAAGAGCAAATGCTTGCATGGTACTGTATGTGCCAACTGCTCAATACTACGCCTGCCATCGTCTGCAGCAAGGTTCTGCCTTCTCCCAAACAGCAGAGCTCAACCACTGTTGACAGCAGCTCTGAAGATTGCAGCTATGATGCAGACTTAACTCAGCAAATCTTACTGCACATACTCATTTCTCAAATAGCTGTCATCTGCATCCCCACCACTCCATCTCATACATAACACTTGCCATGAAGGCTTCACTCTTCAGTAGTCTTTCCTACACTTTCCTTCTCTTTTGAGAAAGAGAAGAGAGTAGTCAGACAGCAGTTAACCTGCCCCAACCGCTGCTGTGGTCTGCGGTTTAAGATAACCCTCTAGGACCATAAGTGTATTGTATGAACTACCCGTATTCCTGAGATCAGGGCAAGAGGGGGGACCACCATATGGAATCAGGCTGATTACAGGTGATAAGCCCAAACACCAGTAAGAGAGGTAAGGACTAATTTGCAGAACAACTCAAATTATACACACAAGGGTTTGGCAGCAGTGACAACAAGCAGCAGGAGATCGGCAAGGTGGAAGAGAACGGAGCTGAGAAATTCAATCAACAGGGAAAACCCACTCACTGAGACCAAGCCCTTAATTTTTGGTTGAAGCTGTTCTGCAGCGTGCAGTGACAAGTCATAATCATTCATTGTGAAAAGGTCTTTACCGCTACCAGCCAGGACACCCTGCTACTTCACAGTGTCTTCTCCTCCTGGATTCCTAGAGAAGACTTAGTTCCATCCTGGACTTCCAACAGGCCAGCTGTGTGGCCAGGGGCAGCAAGCCTGTAAGCAGACCTTCACATTACAAGCAGAGCAGAACAATTCTGTACAGAGACCCAAGCCCACATTTTGTGTCAGCGGTGATGCACACAGCCGTGCACCCACAGCACCCGCACGCAGGGCTGCCAAGTGCGGGAGCGGCACCCTCCCTGCACATCTTCAACCCTCCAGCCCCTTCTGGGAAAACCACTGCAGGTTTAACAGTGACGCTTTGTCTGCTTTATTAGAGACAGAATTGTTAGTAATTTGCTTCAGAGTGCTTGGGGTGTGAACTAATTAGGACTTCAATTCAGTGCTTCAATTATATGCTAAAAAAGTATTCTTGTTGTCGCTGCTGATTACATAATCTCTGTCAGGCAGGCAATGAAGGAAGGAACGTGCTGGTTTAACATAAGCCTCTGTACGCTCCTAAAATTTTGGGAATCTGTCAACTTCCAAGCAGAAAACCAGGTAACCAGCTGTGAGAGAGGACGGCAGCCTTCAGGAGCTGAACACAAACGCAGGAGAATCTCCTACTGAATGGTGATTTATCGCTGGGTCTCGCCACCTCCTCCTCTCTTTAGGAGGACCTACAGCACTGCAGCATTGCCTGCCTGTCCTCAGGCGCCCCAGCTGCTTGGGAGAGGGCTCTCCATTTACACACCTTACTCACATCCTCCTCACCAGAGCAGTGCAGGGTTGGTCCTACCTCAATCCACTGCTGGGACGTCTTTTTGGATGAGCATTTTAACGAGTACTCATTTTAATGATCAGCCTCTTATCACTAATCTGCTTCCTCCAATTCTTCATCTGCAGCCCTTCCAACTCCACTGAGCATCAAGCTCCTAATGGACTTGGATGAGATCAATCCATTAACAAGCTCTTCAATTCAACCGGTGTAACTACACCGCACTCTGTTTCAATGCACTCTCAGCACCATTCTCAGTCCTCCCATCACTGGGGTCATGTCCCTGCTTATTAAACATCTTGGCAGCTACTTCAACCCGCAGCCTCATCATATGGCCGTTTCCAGGAACCTGCTGGAGAGCCCATAAGCAGGAGGAGGTTTCAGTACTTCTAATAATGCCACTTTGCATTATCTTGCTGCTTCAAATACTTCCCTCCCCGCAGCCCAGCAGAACAAACTGCTGCAGGGGTTTTGTTCTTCCTGAGCAGCCCAAAAACATTTTGGGAACCTCATGGCACCTTCGCTGCTCAGAGGTGGTCATGTCTGCCATGCAAACCCAGCTGCCATCCTGCCAAGCTCTTCCTCCCATTTATTCCTTGCCCCCTTCCCACGCCTCCCTCCCCATCACCATGCCAGCAAGCACAGCGGATCACTGGTGCCATGGGTATGCACACTGACCAGCAGTGTCCTTCCAGATGAGCCCAGGTCCGCCTTGGGTAAACTGTACAGGAGGTCTTTTACACACATTTCAGGGGGAATTCCCCCTCCTCTGGGGCAGCAAACTGTTCCCACTACAGCATCATCTATAAAAATCGAGCTGCTAATGCTGCTCTCGACACACGCAGACTGCCAGGCAACTCAGCAGCTGCTAAACCAGGTTAAACACGGTTTAAGAGAGACGCCCGGTGTCAGCTAAGCCAAGCTCCCCAGCACAGGCCTTCCACTCGTGCTCCTTCTGCAGCAGCAGGTCTGCTCCTGGCTGGGCACTCCAGGGACACAGCCCCATTGCGGGGCAGGTTGGCTCTGCAAGGAGGCAATGCCTACCGTGCACAGACCTGTGGGGTGTCATGGGGAGAGGAGCACTTGGCTTCCAACCACCACGTTAGCTACACTTCAGTAAGGTCTCTGCAGCCTTTGCTTTCCAGGTGTCCCGGCCATCTGCAGCCCAACGCACGTTTGCTATGCAGATGCACTCAGCAGTGGCTCGCTCTGGAAGAGTGCGGCCCATCTATAGCTCACCGAGACAGCTGCACATGAAGACTCTGGCACAGACCTTCATAAAGGTTCCTCAAGCAATTATGGAGCAAAGGACTTGCCTAAGCACTGATGCATTCCTCCCCGCCTCCAGATTCACGTGTCTTACAATATTTCACTAAGGAGGAGCCCTCCGCAGGCACGCTAACAGCCCAGTCAAAGGGGTCAGCCTTGAAAGCACTCACCCTGCTGACCTTCCCATTATCCCAGGCGAGCAGAGGGACAAAGCTCCCGCAGGGAAAAGCTGAGCCCCAGAGCAGCATTTGTTTCTTGTCAAAAGCAATTCTCCTTTAAGCAAAGCCAAATCAATGAATGAATGGGAACTGCACGTGAGGGGCAGCCCATGTGGATTCAGAGGAAGCAGAGGGAGCTTGGCCACACTAGCCATGAGGTTTGTAGGGGCTCGTTGGTGACAACAGGTGGCCACCAGGCTCTGGTGAGGGGCAGCTGGGAGCAGGTCACAGCCCAGCACTACAAGGGAAACCGCCTCCAGAAACGTGTCACCTCCCACACCAACTTCCTAACTTGTTCCTCCATCTCCTACACTTCCAAGAACCGCCCAACCCCACCCAGCAGCCTGGGCTGGTCTGCAAGACCGAACTGAAGTACAGACCTTTGCTTAAATTTAAGGCAACCAGAGATGGGTCTGAATCACAAGTGGAACACAGCAATGCCAGATAAGTGATTTCTAAGCGCTCCCTCTCAAGGTGTAGCTAGCTTGTGTATTAGGCAATTTTTCTTGCCTCACACTCAAGTTTCATAAATCCTCAAATTGACTTCCCTAGACAAGATGTTTTCGGTGCTACCCCTTTCTCTCAGATGGGAGATAATTCAGCAGAACTGAAGGCAATCACACATCACCAATACATACTAATCCAAGTGATTCTCTAGATGCTCTAAAACCAGGCAACATCTATATTATCTTTAGTTATGTTCAGATTTCAAACGAGTTCCCATGAAAGCCAGCTCCAGTTTAGATGGTCACTGCAGCAATGCCTTTGAAAAGGTTTCATTTCCCTTTGCGCATCTTGCCCAGCCACCATTGCCACTCATCAGGAACAGACTCAAGGACACAAAGAGCAGCCATTTCCAAGGCCGGGCCAAATCCTGACACAGGGAAGGCAACTCAGCATGTTTGCTCCTGCAGATCAGGCTTCCCCAAGCAGTATGGTATCTCTGAAGCACCTTTCCTAAGGTGTGAGCACCTCAGCACCCTCCTTGTCTTTGCTGTTCCCCCAGTGTAGCCGTATGTTACCTCTCTAACAGCAGGAGCATGATGCTGTCCCAGCAGAAGGGTCTTTTGTTCTCTTGAAAACACGTGCCTTGGCAGACTCCACACTGGAGGAGCAGTAAGGTAAATAAGAGGGAAGTGCCACTGCGATTCAATCTTCAGAAGGCACTGGGGGATAAGAGCGAGGTAATGGATTCTGGAATTGATTTTGTAAACTGGTGATCTGACTTCAAATTAAGACTGGAATAGGAATAGAAAGGATACAGCTAATTAAAGAACATGACAGAAAAAGGCTGAAGCAGGTATGATACCTACTATGAGCAGACCAAAGCTTTAAATCAAAGCTGATCTCTTGCTCTGTTTTAGGAGGCAGAAGAAAACCTTGAAAAATATGCAAAAGAAGAACAGACCACGTATTCGCATGGATCGGAGTGCAAAGGGATTTCAGGAGTTACAAATTAAAGAAAAAAAAAAGCCCTTGACCTAGAACTGACAACTCGGCAACAATTCTACACAGAAACCCCTGAGATCATGGAGCTATTTGGTATAATGAACAACACAAAGCCAACGATAATAATTTGTACCATTACACTACGCCAGTGAAGCTACAGCAGTACAGCCTCCCTACAACTACACGTGACTGCCCTTTAACTGTTAGAGCCGGTCTTCTACACCAGGTGAACAACCTCATCTGGGACCAGGCACCCATGTGTCAGCAGAGCTGCGTCTTCGGCATGGGACATTCAGTGAAAATGCACACCACAACCACAACATTTACACCTGAGCACTCTGCAAGTCCACCCAGGCTCTCCTGAAAGCAGTACTGCTCAAGATAGGCAATGAGGAGGTATTACAAGATGGGACAGGACCTTTTTCTGTGTCTCCATGCCGTACCGAGCATTTTTAAGTCCCATGGATGTCCTAGATGACAGATACCATACCAGTTATGGGTAGATACATACTTGACCCTGCACCAGCATCAGAATTTCTTCTCACCTTCTTCAGGTTGGTCTACAGCAATGGCCATGAAATTGAGCTTTTCAAATTCCCTCTGCAGAAACCTGGCACTAAATTACTTCTGCGAAATTAAGCTTATTGTATACCAAGAACAGGTATTACAGATAAAAATAATATTCAAATCTCATCCAAGGTCCAAATAGCAGAAAACTGTACTTTTTAGCATGCAAATCAGAGCCAGAACATTTGCTTGAAACAGCTAAATTTTTTTGCTGAATCTAGATTGCACATTGACACGGTGTTGTTATTGAAGTAGGAAGCAATTAACCATTGGGCTACGGCCACAAACTGAGACTTGGTGATTGCTTATAGGACCCTCTATTCAGCGCAGACAGTTAACCAGATTACGATTTGATCTAGAATTTGAATGCCATTACTTTTCCATATTCAAATGCCTCTGAACAGTTCATTATAATGTTGCCATTAGCAATGGAACTCCAATCTTAGATGTTTATGTACTCCTCAGGGCTGTATTCAGGAAGTGGGAGCTGAAATTTATTATCCCTCTAACCGAAGCAGGGGGCTGCCCAGGTGCACTTCGCCATTTCAACGGCTGCTGTAAGAAGCATCCTTTTATTTCCCTCCTTGTGTATCTGCAGCAGAGGAAGGAGGAATACGCGATCATTTTGGCATACGGTTCATTTAGAACAAGCTCAAGATAATGCTCTTCCTCCAGTGGCTGAAAAACTACTCTTCCATTTTTTTAAGAAAAAAGCAGGGCTGAGGCCCTGTTACAGAATAATAGAGAGGTTTGCATTTATGGAAAACTAGTTTTCATTGCTTTGATGAAAGGCCAGGCCAACATATAGAAGTTTTGGGTGCTCCATCATCAAAAAGAGTCAAAAATCCATGCAGATTTATAGTATGCAATAGGCATGCTGAATCCCCACAGAGGACATGCAGCACCACAGAAGAAAACAAGTTTACACAACGTATTATTTCATGAAAGGTTTCTATAAAGAAGCACTTACTGCAAAGGCTCCAATTTCCTCAGCTTCTATTTGTCACATTCATAACGGAAAACACCTCTTTTTAAAAAGTCACTTTCATTTCTTTCTCTGATTCTATGCTGCCACAATGGTTCTCCATGAGCCTTCACAATCAGTGGTCAACAGCTCATGTCAGAGCTTTCTTCACCGTGCCTCAAGTCCCAGTGCAGCCATTCCCACCGCTGCTTTGTCGCCAGTGCTGTCCCTGGGACCTGGAAGCCTGTCACCTCCCACCTGATGTGCTCCTGTGGCTCACTTCACTGCTCTCCATCTCAGCACCCTCTCCCTAAACTGCAGTCTCATCTGAGACACCCACCCCTCCACCACAGCCTACCAGTGCTTCCCAGCACCAAGGGCCCTCTCAGCTGGTTTCACCTCACCCCCAGCTCCAAACTCAAGGTTATGTCATGCACCTGCAGCTTACTTGAGAAATAAACTCACCTGTTCTTCACTTTCCAGCACTCAGACCTTGTTTAAACCCCTGGTTCCCTTGGCTAGACATTTACCCCATGTAGCATCTCCCCCCTCTCCTTTAGGATCTCACTGCTTCTCATCCCAGACATTAAGAGAGCTCACTGAGCTCATAACACCGTCTGCCCGATGGTAGGAGGTGGTTTGCAGCAGCCCCCTGGCCCAGCCCTGCACACATTACCTTACTCTCCACCACGGAGATGAGAATCTGCTCCATGATGCTGCTGGTTGCTGGAACGGAGGTCTGGATGTGGCCGATGACAACTCCAATGGCCACGCGGGATAGCTCATAGCTGAGGTGGGTGTTCCTGCGCACCAGCTCAATCAGTTCGGCACCTATCGTTTTGGGCACTGATGCCGCCAGACCACTGGGTTCTGGTGGCACTGGCTCCACCACAGCCGCCTTCTTATCCTCCAGGCAGAGGGAGTTGAAGGCATCCAGGCTTGCAGGGGGGGCCGGAGCAGCTTTCTTCACCTGAGAAGTCTTCTCCCCATCCACAGTGTGGGACCTCTGGGTCCCCCCTTCAGCTGGCGGTGCTGGGGCAGCCCTCTTGGTCTGGGGAGATTTGCTGGCCCCATCCTTTGGGGAAGTCCCGTAGCGGGAGTGGGCCACAGAGCCAGCATCCAAATTACGTGTTATTGTGGTGTGGACGCTCCGGCTCGGGACAGGGGGTGGGGTGTTGGCAGGACTGGAGGTGGCCGTCGGGAGAGCAGCCTCTGACGCAGAAGAAGCAGTGTACAAGGTATCCAGGGATGTCGTGCTTATAGAAGAGGCGCTAGAAGCTGACCCAGGGATAATTTCAATAGCATCTGAAAGGGAACAATTAAAAATGCCTTAGCAACAGCATCAAAGGAAAAAAAGAAAAAAAAACCAACAAATTGCTACAGTGCAGTCCATTAAAAGGCTCATTGTGCATGCGACCAGAGCTGTTTAACTCCTCTTCCTGCCTCACTTATCTCAAAGCAAAATTGTACCAGTTCTCTCTGGAGGATTCCCGCACAATCACCTCTTTGGAAAGGGGAAAACTACTCTATTGAGATGAATAACCTTCAAAGGGCTTAGTGTTTTACGCAGGGGAAGAGGGGGACAGGACTAAGGGACAGAAAAGTCTTTTCCCCCTGGTTTAGCGAGGGCCTCTTTGTGCGTTCAGGATCTAAGCCCTCACTTTTGAATGACGGTGCCTGAGAATTCCAAGACACCGAAGGCTTCACACACCAGCCCGCGCCTCCCTCTTGCACAAACCTCACCAACTGCACACCACAGTTAGCACCGACGGTGAAGGGAACATTTGGCTGACAACACCTCTAGTCTCTCCCTTTCAGCACTCTCCAACGTTTGATCACGAGCCCTGCAGCCCTGCTAGCGTCCACCGCTTTCACAAGCCTCCACGCTATCTGCTCTAACGTATTTCTTCCCCCGCCTCTAATCTTGACTAGTTCTTAGCAGTGGTAGCTACACCACCTTGTAGTGGATTTTTGTTCCTTGGAAGAAAAGAGATTTTATGATTTCTCTCTCCTTTAACCTGGCCTAATATATATTTGGGTAAACCTTATCCATTAGTTTCTAGGGGGCAGAAATATATCCAAGTCCTTCCCTGACTATGAAAACAGCTACTTGGGCAAGCACTGGACTACCTTCATCTAGAGCTTCATGACTGCAGCTGATGTTGGAAGGGAAGGAATGCACCCCACGGGGAGCCCAGCTCTTGGGGAAGGCGGTTTCCCCCACACCAAAGGAAGGACCAGTGGGACAGACACGTGAAGTGCCTTTGCTGCACCTCCGCAGGCATCACCAGTCCCTCCTGCCCCATCGCTCCTGGGAGCCCGATGCTACTCCATTCACTGCTCCATCCCAAGCACAAGCCAGGCAGAAAAGCAGGGCCCCTCCCTCCCACAGGGGCTCAGCATCCCTCTTTTTCCTTCTTCTCACAGAACAACATTCACAAAATCATAGCTCCCACCACGCTTCATCAAATCAAGATAAGAAGTTGAAGGAAACTGACCTTTGCGAATTGCCACTACCACAGTGAAAAACGGCTCAAAATTAAGCATGCTGGTGCCAGCCCCAAGTTTCAATTCACTACCTGCAAGACAACAGCTCTGCCCCGCTTCTTACAAGCAGAGACGAGCGGGCTTGAGATGGGCTGCGTGTCACCAATGGCGTGACTGTCACAGCGCAGGAGAGCTGGCCAAGCTGACAGCAGCTCAGCAGGACGACCACTGCCTCTGCCAGCCCAACCACGCTGAAGATGGAGAAGCTCCTGCCTTGGCCCCGTGGTCCTGCTCTGCTCTGAAGCCCTCACCCCGAGCAGCTCCCCTGCCTGTGGGCAGCATATACACGGCCGTGCTCCGGCATTATTTGCGCTCCTTACAGCCACCAGCCGCCGCTTCTATGGAAATCTCATCCGAGCACTGCACAAAGAAAGCACCTGACAGACTAGGAGCCAAAAGCAGACTTGGACCTGTCCTAAAAGCGCTACCAGCGAGTTCCTGCAGTGAACTACCACACTCTGCACTGCCAGGGAAACCTCCCTCTGCCTTGCTGGGAGATGGCCATGGGGTCTGCGGGAGTTAAACACCCACAAGGGTCTTAAACCACCAACATTGTGTGCTGGCCAGGTTAGCCACACAAGCAGGCAGAGTTTGCTCCCAGGAGACCACATTTCCCAGGGCCACAGGCAGTGGAGGACGCTGTGCCTGGCATCCATCCACAGGCACCAGGCTGCCCAGACCCCCCTGGATCAGAGAGCATGAAGGAGCACTGGCCACTAGCTCATAACTGCTAGCATTAAAACTTATAGGAATTTGGGATAGAGAGAAATATATATGAAAGGATATAAAACCTATGGGAATTTAGGTTATATATGAGGATGCCCTTCTAAGCACAAAGCAAAAGCATCCCGGCACCATGACTTATATTGCCCAGCATCCATTTCATGCCCAAGATCTAGACAGCAGTTTGTCCTTACTTTTAACGGGAGCAGCAATCTGTGCGTTCTTGCGTTTCTCTGGAGGTGGGGGGGTGATAGGAGCAGCACGCCGGGGCTGTGGTGGGATCTATAAGGAAAGATTTCAGAGCAATCAAAGGAGGTTGACAATAAAGACATTCCCTGTTATGAAACCTTCTTTCTCGCGTGCATGTGTAGATTTGTCCTTACATCTCTCTCATCATTCGGGGAAGTTTTCTCAGGAGGACAGATATTAATAGGCAGCTTCCTAGAAGAACAAAGCAGGACTCAAGCCTGCTTCATCCCCTCCTTGTGACAGGCAAAGCAGCCCTTGTTTAATTGCTGTGTTCAGCAGCACACAGCACACGCATCGTGTAGACCTGTCAAGCATTTACTCCTCCTTTATTCCAAATGCGATCCCACACACTCACTGTGACTCCACATTACTCTCAATAGCTCCACAGAGGCTGCAAACAGAGTGCATATTTAGACACTCTTCTGGAGAGATCCATTACATCAGCTACAAATACCCTTGCAGAAAGACAAAGCCAAGGACTGGAGACATGTAAATGCCTTTGCCATGCTTTCAGAGCTATTTCTGCTCATGCAGGGAGGGAGAAAAATAGGGCTAGACCCTCCGTGCAATCCTACGCTACCTATAGCAACACCTGCTGGGAAAAGCTTTTGCCAGGGACTTGTGCTAACTCTCAATATCTAGGATGTCTCCTGCAAGTCTCCTCCACTAGGAACGCCGAGCCAGTGGCGTATGAGCTACAGACCCAGATTCCTGCACTCATCTTTTCCTGTCAGATCCAGACAGAATGATCACTGACATTGCTTTCACCAAGAATTACGCCGGTGCAGTGTAACCTCAGGGTTAACCTCTGATCAGTAAGACACCGCTGAACACAGCAGCCAGCCTAGGTGGGAGCACATTGCATCAACACGCTAATCCTCACATCCCAGCGGCTCAGGGCCAGGAGACTCTTAGGGGTCTCTTAGCACTTCTGTGGTTCAGAGCCTGCTGCCTGAAACACACCTCTGTTTTTATGGGATATTGCAATCACTGCCTGCAGTAAAGCTGCCGAGGGCAGCACGGGAAGGGAAAGGAGGCGATGGCCTGAACGTCTCAGGTAGCCCAGGTTGAAGCCATCTGGCATCTACCTACCATAGTGACATCCAGAACACCACACAGTGCCATTTTCCCAGGTTTCTTTAGCCCTGGAAGAGAAGTTTTTCTGTGACCCATCAGTGCTGAACAGCCCTGTAACACTGCACAGGGCACAGAGTGCTGCCAGTCCCTGCAGGGAAAAACTGAGACAGACCCCTGAAAGGTGGGATGAGCCATTTTAAATAGCTTAGAAGAAGGAGAATGAAAAATGTACTTTTTTTCCTCTGGATCCAGGAAGGACAGAAACTTCCTCTGAAATGGGAGAAAAGATATTCCTGGAAATAAGACACCTTCAGGAGCCACCTCAAATATTCCAGACTCAGTGTCACGAGCTGACAATGCAGTGCTCACAGCCCATGCCTGGAGCCCACCAGACAAGTGAAGACACAGCAGTTTGCACAGCTTACAAAGACTTTTTAAAAGGGATCTCTTGGTCACTTTCTCCCACCCAACACCTAATATATCCAACCTTTTCCTATGGCAGATAACAAGTTACTTCTTTACAAGCGCCTTTAGCTGGTGGATTAGTATGAGATACTGCTGCAGACTCCCGGCCTGAGCTCTTCTGCTCTTGTCAATCCATCCCACATTGTTCTCTGGGTAAAACGCTATATGATACTGGCATACAGCTTCAAAAATTATCTGTGTTGGTCCAAAAAAGAGATTGCACAGCTGACAGAGGCCAAACAGATCAGGAGGGGTCTCTGCATCGCGTGGCTGGAAGGCTGGTCCCAAATCCGGAAAGCTCAGCTGTGCTAAAAGCAGAGCCCTCTCTGCAGAGCAACGGAGCTAACAGCACGAGTCGGAGCCGCTTGGCATGGCACAGCCACCATTACCGAGGCAGTGGGATTTAGCAGACAGGCAGGCTCAGATCTTAAAGCAGCAGCATGACATTATTTGGAGATAGCTAAGGCTAGGTCATTCTGGAGTATTTCCATGGCTTCATTAGCCCTTCCAAATTTACCACGCAAGTTTAACACAGTTATTACAGACCAGCGCTTAAATTAATAGATGTACAGCTAATGTTAGCTCAGAGCCCTGCCAGCCTCATTTGGACCTGAAGCATCAGATGAATTTCTCTGTGCTGGTGCCTCCCTGAGCTATGAGCTGCCTCACGGTCAGGAGTTGTGAGGGATAACCAACGGCCATCCCCTCCCTCCACCCCATGTCCCAGCTGCTGCACAGGGCCAAGCGGAGGATGTACAGCATCGAAACTCCCAAGGGAAGGGGAGGAAATGGGAGAAAACACCCTCTGTCCAGCTGCTATTAGGAAGGTGACCATGTAGGAGGTCCCTGCAGCACAGGTCCCTCCCGTCCAGAGGGGAGAAGGGGAGGGACCCTACCACAGGTCCAGAGAGAAGCACCTACACACGTGTTGAAAGTCTTCCTTTACCCAAGTGTCTAAAAGAGGGCTGTGAACTTCCCCAAATCCATGGATTTTACACATGCGCTTCCTCTTTTTTTCCATTTTGCAGGGACTGCTAGTGGAGGCTTTGCTCCCTGCGCTGCTTGAGACGAGAACCAACTCAACCACAACACTCCCATCCCCTTCCCAGATGGGCAAGCAGAGACCACCACTCCTTCACCTCCTGAGAATGATGCTATTATAGTAGGAACCTTTAAACAAACAAACAAACAAAAAAACCCCACCAGAACAAAAAACCCAAACCAACAATCTCCTACCCACCACCTCCTCTAGGCAAGCTCTGCCAAGCCAGACAGACTGGTCTGCAGCAAAGGCTTCTGGAGATGAGCATCACAAACCCACTGAGCACGCACAAAAGCGGCAGACTAAAATATTCTGAGATCCCAAGCTCCTCCCTTGGCAGCTGCTATGTAACTGCCCCAGCTTCCCACCTTATGCTAACTGTGGAGGAGCTGAAGAGAGGCTCAGCACAGGTGCCATCACCAAGTACTTCAGCCAGTTCAGCCCTGGGAGCAAAGCCACCAACAGGAAATTTGCACCTTAAATTTTGCTTAAGTTTTCAGATGCAAACATTGAATGTACCCAAAAATCCCAAGCAGTGAGAAGCACATCCCCAGACCTCTGCTTCTCCAGACTTAGTGAGAAAGTTTAGATTTCAGTACGCCTCCTCTTAGGCAGCTGCATAACCAGTGGAAGAAAGCAATGCTGCTTCCTCTATTTCATATTTTCAAAGCACACAGGAAATCCCTCAGCTGAGCTGTTAAAATCTCAAGGAGCCCTTTCAGCACAGGGCAAAGCTGGAAGCCCTTTGACTGTATCCTCAGTGCCACCCAGACAGAAACAGTTCTTTGTCAGCTAAGGAATCTGTTTTGCTCCTTTTTGGCAAGCAACCAAACCACAGACCAGATAAAGATGGGGAACTGGCATGGAGAATGGGCCAAAAGGTGCTCCATTCGCTTAGCCCGTAATGCACAGGCTTGAGAATGGAGCTGGTTTGGCTGCCCAGAAAAGAAAACTAATATCAAGAAGAAAAATGGGGTTTGTAGGGATTGACGTGTTCTGCACGAGCCAGAGCTACCTTTTATCTCTGCAGACTCACAGTTCTTCAAGTGTAAAACAAGCCTCATCTGCTAGGAGTGACAGCGTGTCAGTACCTTATAAACACTGCCTCCAAACACTCATCCCAGATAGACGAAGAAAAACTACAGCGCACATGTTCATCCATAGGAGAAGAAAAATCTCCACGCTCATCCTTGCTTGGCGCCTTTAGCCCTGACATCCAGCTACACCTACACTGTGTAATCGGCCACATCATTCATCCCCAGCAACTGCTGCATCCGTCCTGGGCTGCTATTTTGAAGCCTCGCTGGCGCCACACAGTAACCTTGGAACTGTGTGCTGCCAAGATAAAAACCAAAACCTCTAACTCATATTTCCTGCAATTTACCTTTAATTCATCATGACAAGCAATGTTCAGACAAAGCAGGATCTTTTGGGTTTTTTAATTTTTGAGTAGTAAAAATAGGCAGCCACAGCAGTTTGAAATGCTTAAGGACCAAAGATCATGTTGTGCAGATTTAACAAGGGGTAAACAAAGCAGTGCGGAGTACTTAGAGGGAGTTCTGCTGCTCATGTCAAAACTGGTTTTCAAAGTATTCCCTGGGGAGCTTGCAACTCTTTTAGAAAGCTGTCAAGAGACAGTCACACAATATAAAGCGGATCTCGCGTGTCACCATAAAACCCTGGACCCTCCAGGATCCCAAAAAGCAGCACAAGTGCAAATGGCAGAGGGACTGTTCCAGACTCCTTACGTGGGGACAGCTTCAATTTACATCGCAGTAATCCCAGGTAAGCAGCACAACCACTTGATTTGTGACTTCAGCTGCAAAGGTGTTTCATTAAACAGGACAAGCGATGCCATACCACACCAAAGGAGGAACCTAGAAAGTGTCCAGCCACTGTTACCTGATAGAGACCTTCATCCTCCTCCTCGAACTCGGTGTTTGGAAGACTGTGATGTCGCTCATATCCGGTCCGGCACACCCCGTTGGGCTGCCGTGCCACATCCAGATGGTGATCGCTGGAGGACTGCGTCATAACCATCCCCTGCGGGGTGGGAGAGTGACCTTTGCGGGACACAGTCTCCTTCCGGTGATGGATCAGTTTTCTGAAATGGAATGACGACATCAGGAATAACAAAGCTAAAGGAAGGGAGTGACTGTGCTGCAACATTTAAATGATATTGTAAAATGATATATTGCATTTGGGCTATATATACCAGAATGGGTTATATTACTCTGAACACCAACTCCAGTTTCATTAACAACTAAGGAAGCACTTCTGGGGGAGGAAGGAAGAGGCTTTACAAGAGCCCATGATTTATTCATCAGTTCGCTGGAGAAAAATGCCTCTTCCTTGGGGGAGAGTCACACATTGCATTGCAAGCTTCAGAAATTGCCTGCGCTTTAAAATCGCTGTTCAACTGAGATTAAACCAGCGTGCCTCAGCAGACAGTGTGAGGCGTCAGACAAAAACAAAAATTCTCCTCACAAGCAATTATTTGAGAACATATTAAGGACCTTGTGCCACAAGCCAACAACCTCTACAACTCCTGGCTGTTAGAGAGGAGAAAATGAACCCAGAAAGGTTTTGGATTTCTCCTCCAAGCCTACAGTGCAGCTGAGAGTTTTCTCCTCTTTACACACACAGGGATAGAGGGGGAGACCCTTTGCTGGGCACAGTTGACTGGAGGAGCAGCATCAGCTACCAGCTCGAATGCTGGGAAGCTCTCTGAGTGCATCAGCACTTTGCAGCCCAGGGACTCAAATCAACAACATCCAACTTGACCCCCCAAAATAGAAAAGACACAAGCATCACATGCTGACCACCCTCCATCCGCCACCTCTCCCAGATGCCCACCGTACTTACTGGAGGACATCTCTCTGCTCCAGGTTGTACTTGCCCCCATTCTTCATTGCTGCGTTGTGCACAGCCTCAATGGCACGGTCAATAGACTGGAGAACCACATCTTGCTCCAGCACCTGAGAAACACAACATCCCGCACGTTATCGCACTGCTTCAGCTGTGGCTCTTTTGCGCCAGAGCTTACGGCAGGAGAGACCACAGCATGTGAAACCCAGAGAGCTGGCGCCGCACAAGCCAAATGGCCAGCAAACAGCTCCCAGAGACAGAACCCCAACTCTGCACCATCTCACTTTTCCCTCCTTCCTCCAAAGGAAACGTGTTTGAAGCCGTGCTTCAAACTGAGTCTGCCCATTCAAGGCTTATGGATGGAAAAGAAAGTCACTGTTACAAGCACTGAAGTCCAGCAATCACTACAAAACGACCAGGGGCAGAGCTTTATAACCATGCAGCAGCCTGGAATATTCAGCCTGCTGCAGGGAGCTTTTGAAATCCCACTGCAAAGCCCAGCTTATCCCAAGCTCAATTCCTTCTGCTCTCACTGCCCTGCTACGGAGCAAATACACAGCTGTGAATGTCACACACCTAGTCAAAATCTGGTAGCCTTCAGAGTTCATTGGCTCTGGGTTTGCATTTTCACTTGCTTTTTTTCTTGATTGTTTTTATACTTGTTTCACCACTTGAAGTGCCTTTTCCAAATCTCCACCCAAACTGTCATAGCAACATTTATTCCTCCTGCCAGCCAGTTTAGCACTCATTACTGCAGCTGAAATAAACACCAGCCTTGAAGCAAGAAATACCAAAGATGTCATTCCCTGGGCTTATACAGGAGGCTGGGAGAGCTGTGGCGAAGGGGCACAGGAAGGTAAAGCAGGTTTCCACGCTTGGGACATTCTTCAAGGCTTTGTTCATCAACAGCTGACATGCCTTCAGAAGAAGAGACCTGTACGGGACTAAGGCTGAAGGCAAAAGACATGCTACCAAATCTTTGCCCTGGATCCAGCAGACCCACAGGACCTCCCATAAGCTGCCGCCAGCCAGCACCATCGCCGTCCATTCGGTACCACCATCGGCAGCCTCAGCACGTGCACGACAGGGAGGAGCAGGAGAGGAGGGGAGTACTTGGACTCCAGCCCTCATTGCAGCTGTTTGAACACTAAAACCCCCTTCATCTTTGTTTGCTTTGACCCCTCCCTGCATCAGAGCAACCATTTATCCAGCCAAGGAGCGGCTGGAATCTCATCAAGGATGCACCTTAATTGGCCTTAGGGGGCTGCAGAGCAGCAGAAGGCAAGCCCTCCCCACCAGGGCTGAAAGTGCCTGCCTCCATAGGACTGGCATGCAGTTTTCTGATAACACGCTATGTTTTATTTATATCCTGATTAATTACTAAACCAAATGTGAATTAACAGCAACTGCAGACTGTGGGGAAAAAAAAACTAACAACAACCCAAACCCAACCTCCAAACAAGGTGGGCCCCTCTGCAATACTCAGCTCTGAAAAAGAAAAATTCAGCAGGGTTTTATTTTCTTGGTTTGTTTTCTCAAGAAAGAGAGATAGGGAGGAAAGCATCTGGGGAAGACTTTAAAAATAAAACTAGGTGTGTTAAAATGTGTCTACCGAATTCATTAAAGTATCAGATCAAGGACAAAACCAACACTCAGAACCCAACTTGGGGATGAAGCCTCCAAGCAGCCCCATATGGTCTAGGGAGCATTTCACCACCTCTAACTACAGATCTAAGCAAAGAAACTGAGCAAAGCTCATTTGAACATCTTTAAATGAGCATTGGAAGGAAAGGCAAGTTACTTCACAGAATGTAGCTTGTTTTCTGAGAAAACAAGGGAAAATGACGTCAAGCTGCACACTTTCTCTGCGGAAGGGGAGCAGCACAAGAATCTCCAGCGTTGCTGTCCCCAGGGGAGACCCCTGCCCTCCGCAGAGCCTGCCTGCCCTCGTGCCGCTTCCACCTGAGCTCCCACCCCAAAATTCAAGACAGCTCCCGCTACAGCCTCCAAACACGCACCCTGGCATACTCCCCAATCCCCCACTTGTAGTTCCTCCACATCCCCCACCGTCCCCTCCAAAGCCACCCCCTCCACAAGCTGCACCCTTCGTGCTGCCTTCTCTCACCCTCCCCGGCCCGCCAGGCTTTCACCCACATGGGTTTCCACCTTTCTCAGTCTGATCTTCCCAGGGAAGATGGCAGTACAGAGCGCTGAATCCCACTGAACGGCTCAGCGTCTCTGCCTTCTCCCAGAGAGCCTGTCGACGTTGTCCATAGTCCTCAGGAATCCACGGGCTGGAGCTGCTACTCCCTGTGTGATGCCATTTGTTATGGAGAGGCACTTCTTTCCTGATAAAACACAGCATTTTCACACTAATGCGGCAGTGCTGTGACAACCGGCTTTTAGCTGCTGTGCTCGTTCCTTTGTTTCTGCTCCCCAACCCTCTATTAACAGGGCCCTGTCAACAGGGCTGGAATAAAAAAGCAGCATTAACTTGCCTCTTGCACTTCATGACATTGTTGATGCTGCTCGTAAATCATCTCCTCCCTTGCTCTGCTGAGCTGGTCAGGGGGCAGGGTCTTCAGCACAGGGGTCACCTTGCATTTGGGGTTTGCAGGACACCCAGCATTGGGGATCCCCTGCACTGTAGTCATAAACTTAAAAAATAGAAATCAGTATCCTAGATAAATCAGGTGATTAGAAGGAATCTGCACACTCCTCGGGTTAACCAAAATGGTATTGCTTTATTTGAAAAGGATGGACAAAAAAGCACGTTGCAGTTACAAGGAGCATGGGTTCGCAGCGTTGCCAATGTCTCCCTTACAATCTCCTTCCCCCTAGGACTCCGGGGATGACCTGCTCACAGCAATTCAGGATAATGCATGTGCCTTGAGATCCTCCTCATGCAGTTTAGGGAGACCAGTCACTCCGCAGCGCTGGCAGGGGATTCCTGCCCACATCCAGCACCCATTCCCGAGGATGCTCGCAGACGGGACACAGGCAGGGCGAGCGGCCCAGCGGGGAGGGCGGGGGGGGCACAAACCGTCGCCAAGGTAAGGGAGCAGAGCCTTTGAGCTCAGGCAGGAGAGAGTGGTGCTCAGAAGCCTGCTCTCACCCCCGCAGGGCCCTGCGCTGTGATCCAGCCCCTGCCCCCTCCCACGCTCCAGGATTCAGAGATGAAACCCTGCTCATGGCGGGCTAAGCCAAGGCTCACACGGAAGCAGGGGAGCACATGAAAGGGCATCGCTGCGCAGCGTGCTGTCAGAGGAGACGTACCAAGTAAAGCCCAGGAATTCAGCTGGATTTACTGAAGCTGTGCTGGTAACCACACGAGTGGGGGCTGGCAGAGCCCCAGCAACTGCTGCAGCACACTAGCTGTTAACTATATCCTTCACCAGTTACCAGCTTGCCAGCGGCACAGCCACACCGATGGCTCCTGAAATGCAGAGAAGGTGGCAGGGATAGGGCAATGACGGTGGTGGAAGGCACCGGCTGTGCGTGCCCACCCTTACGGGGCGAGGGCAGGGGTCTCCTCGATTGGCGTGGAGGGGCACAGCTACCGGGCTGTGGCCAAGAGGCATCAGTAGGACACCAGCTCCTGTCCAACGTACCATGAAAACAGAGGGGTGTTTTGGCAAGGTATGGATCCACATTCACATGGCATCTCACCCCAGAAAGGAGTGGCCGCTACCCCCTCTATCAGATAGTTCTGGTTTAATCAAATAAAATGCTGCAGCAGAGAAACAGCCTGTCACAACCAGCCTGGCTACACCAAGAGGCAGGGGAAGAGCAGAGCAGTGACCCCTGACAATCACGGGCTGGACTGGCTGATGGGCCACCGCTTCAGAGAACTGGGGGCACCGACGGCACCCTGCAGGCGAGCTGCCCTGCAGGAACAAGTTACAGCTCAATTAGAGCCATGAACATCAGCCAGGAAATGGAATTTCTTCCTTCATAGCCCAGTGTAGGAGAGTCACAGGAGCATCAATAAATCATTACTTCCTCTCTCCTTGCTAATAACAGGAGCAAACAAAGGGTTTCCCCAGAGCCCACTGCCAATTTCCTCCTGCCCCCATCCGGGGCTCCCCACCTGAGAGGGACAGAGCCAGACCTGGGCACTGCCCTGGGGTGCTCTGCACACCCCCCTGCCCTGAGGCAGGCGGGGAAGGATGCCTTTCCCAGGGCCAAAGCCAGGCTTTTAAGAAGCATCCTTCCAGGACGTCTCCTGGGTACCCAAGCGTGGCCAACACGAGGCACGGCCGTGCGCAGGCAGGAACGCATTCAACCCCGTGGCTCACGCTGCTCTCATCTCCACTACCCCAAGAGCGGTCTCCGCAAAGAGAGCACAGATGCACAGGACGTGTTGCACACCCCTGCTTCCCCGCATACGGGCTGACGAGAGACCCGAGCGTTTCGGAAAACACTATCGGTGTCCTGGCTGCACAGGCAGCACGACCTCCTCTCCTGCTCTCCCAGGGCTATTGAAAATGTCACTCCCCTCCCTCTTCATTTTGAGTCCCTCCACACATACCGCTGGTGTTGTTTAAATGCACTCACACAGAAGAACTTGCTCAACAGTCTAGAATAATCATACCTTTCAGAAAAGCATTTTCTAGACAAACAGGCTGACAGCTGCATCAGTGCAGAGAGGCTCAGCCACCCTGCGTGTGCGAGACTCCCACATTTATGAAAGTGACCCATTAACGTATGGCAGGCTTTTCTTTGCCTCCACAGGGGGCTGATCCAAGAAAACATGGCTTTTTTTTTTTTTTTTTTTTTTTTCTCCCTTCTGCCTCCTCAGTTTTTAGTGATCAAAGGCGTTTGCTCTTCTGCATGTGCAGGAATTGGTGCCCTCATCCCAGCAGCTGCTTTTGCAGCCATAGGGGTACCCAGGCAGGGCTGCTCATTTTCACCCTCATGTCATTGCTCCGGCTCTCACAACACAACAACAAAAGACAGACAAAGTTTTTGTTTTCAGTGACAGCTCAGTTTCCATGCAGCTGCGCTGACACGGACCACTGCTGAAATTAGGATATTTATCCCGCTGGCATACACAGGCACAGGCTGGTTCTTTGTTAACTCAAATCGGAGACGAACGCCACCTCTTAGG